AGGGGAGACCAAGGAGAATGCTAGGGAAGACGAAGGGAAGATAGGCTCCATGCGGAGACTAGGCGCGGCGAAGTCCGGCGCCAACGAAGTTAGCAAGGGGAGATTCTTTGTAATCACCCAATTCGAAGGAGGCGAGTCAAAAGCATTGGTTGACACCGGTGCGACCGACAACTTCCTTCGAGTGGAGGAGGCGGAGCGCTTGGGGATCGCTTACGAGAAGAGGCAAGGATCGCTCAAGACCGTCAACTCGGAGGCAATACCCATCCATGGCGTTGCTAAGAACGTGCCATTGAAGATCGAAGGATGGGAAGGTGTTGCCGACTTCAGCGTCATCACCATGGATGATCATCCGGTCATTCTTGGCGTCAATTTCATGGAGAAGGAGGGCGCGGTGATGGCAATGAGTTCCAACACTCTTTGCCTTGACAAGGGAGACAAGTTTTGCGCGGTGAAGATGTTGCGCGAAGAAGGGCCGAAAAGAGCTTTATCGGCCATGCAGTTGGTGAAGGGAATGAAGAGGAATGAGCCCACGTTCCTTGTCACTTTGCGAGCGAAGGAAGAAGGAGGTTCGGTGGCGTCAACACCTCTCATCGAGGGCGTGTTGGAGGAGTTCGTGGATGTTATGCCAAAGGAACTACCAAAGAAGCTCCCGCCAAGGAGAGAAGTCGATCACAAGATCGAGCTTGAGCAAGGAGCGACGCCGCCATCACGAGCACCTTATCGCATGGCTCCTCCCGAGTTGGAGGAATTGAGGAAGCAACTCAAGGAGTTGTTGGATGCTGGCTTCATCCAATCCTCGAAATCACCCTATGGAGCACCCGTTTTGTTCCAGAAGAAGAAAGACGGATCGTTGCGGATGTGCATCGATTATCGAGCTATTAACAAGCTCACGGTGAAGAACAAGTGGCCCATCCCTAATATTGGCGACTTGTTTGATCAACTCGGAGAGGCAAAGTGGTTCACGAAGCTCGATCTTCGCTCGGGGTACTACCAAGTAAGGATCGCCGAAGGGGACGAGCCAAAAACCGCTTGTGTCACGAGGTATGGCTCATACGAGTTCCTTGTTATGCCTTTTGGACTAACAAACGCTCCTGCTACTTTTTGCACCTTGATGAACCAAGTTTTCGAGCCGTTCTTGGATCGCTTCGTGGTGGTGTACTTGGATGACATCGTGGTGTACAGCAACACACTCGATGAGCATGCCGAGCACTTGCGACAAGTGTTTCAAGTCCTTCGAGACAACGAGCTCTACGTCAAGAAGGAGAAGTGCACGTTTGCAGCAGCGGAGGTTCCTTTCCTCGGCCACATCATCGGCGGAGGCAAGCTAAAGATGGACGAGGCCAAGGTGGAGGCGATACAAGGATGGGAGCCACCGACGAGGGTCACCGAGTTGCGATCATTCCTCGGCCTGGCCAACTATTATAGGAGATTCATCAAGGGATACTCCGCTCTTGCAGCACCCTTGACGGATCTTCTAAAGAAGAACAAGGCTTGGGAATGGTCGGATCGGTGCCGCGAAGCATTAGAAGCCTTAAAGGATGCGGTGACGAAGGAGCCAGTGCTAGCACTTCCCGATCCAACCAAGGCGTACGAAGTGCAGACGGATGCTTCCGATTTTGCAATCGGTGGGGTGTTGATGCAAGAAGGGCACCCAATTGCTTTTGAGAGCCGCAAGCTCAATGAGGCAGAGAGGAGATATGCGGTGCAAGAGAAGGAGATGACGGCGGTGGTCCATTGTTTGAGAACGTGGAGGCACTACTTGCTTGGGTCGAAGTTCGTTGTAAAGACGGACAATGTGGCGACGAGTTACTTCCTCACACAGAAGAAGCTCTCGCCCAAGCAAGCAAGGTGGCAAGACTTCCTCGCGGAGTTCGACTTTGTGCTGGAGTACAAGCCGGGGAAAGCCAACTTTGTTGCCGATGCTCTTAGCCGAAAGAGCGCACTTGCCGCCATAAGCCAGCCGCAATTCCCCTTGAAGGAGAGGATTGAAGAAGGCCTTAGCCACGACCCCTTCGCCAAAACCGTGGTCGAGTACATCAAACAAGGGAAGACTCGGCGGTTTTGGATGAAAGGCGGGCTCATCGTGACTAAGGGGGAGCGTGTGTTCGTGCCGCGGTGGGACAACCTACGAAGGGAGATCATGAAGGAGTGCCACGACTCCAAGTGGGCTGGTCATCCCGGCATTGAGCGCACACAAGCTCTCATCGAGGAGGCTTACTATTGGCCTCGTATGAAGGACGACGTGGAACTCTACGTCAAGACTTGTCTTGTTTGCCAGCAAGACAAGATGGAGCAGCGGAGTCCGGCGGGCTTGTTGGAGCCATTACCCACTCCACAACGGCCTTGGGAAAGCGTGAGCATGGATTTCATCATCGGCCTTCCCAAAGTCGAAGGGTGTGGTTCCATCATGGTCGTCGTCGACAGATTTTCGAAGTATGGCGTCTTCATCGCGGGGCCCAAAGACATGACGGCCGAGGATGCAGCCCGCTTGTTTTTCAAGCATGTTGTGAAGTATTGGGGCATCCCGGTTAGCATCGTCAGCGATAGAGATGGCCGCTTCACCGGCAAGTTTTGGAGGGAGTTGTTCAAGATGATGGGCTCCGATCTGAACTTCTCCACGAGCTTTCATCCTCAAACGGATGGGCAAACCGAGCGGGTCAATGCTTTGGTGGAGGTCTACTTGCGGCATTATGTGAGTGCCAACCAGAAGGATTGGGTGAAGCTCTTGGATGTAGCCCAATTCTCCTACAACTTGCATCGAAGTGAAGCCACGAGCATGAGCCCGTTCGAGTTGGCGACTGGCCAGCAGCCGTTGACACCTAATACGGTGACGACGGGGTACAAGGGCAATAGCCCTTCTGCCTACAAGTTTGCACGAGGATGGCACGAGAAGATGGAGTTGGCGAAGTCTTATCTCGCTCGAGCAACGAAGAAGATGAAGAAGTGGGCGGATAAGAAGCGGCGTCACTTGGAATTCGAGGAGGGAGACTTGGTGATGGTGAAATTCTTCCCTCATCGATTCAAGCACCTTAAAAACGTGCACAAGGGGCTGCTGCGACGATATGAAGGGCCATTTCCGATTTTGAAGCGAATTGGCACGGTGGCGTACAAAGTGGAGCTGCCACCGCACTTGGAGATTCACCCCGTCTTCCATGTGAGTCAATTGAAGGCATATTATGAAGACAAGGAAGACGGAGCACGGAAGGAGTCAGCGAGAGCACCAACACTCGTCACTACAACGCATGAGCACGAAGTGGAGGAGATCTTGGCTCATCGTGTTGTGCCTAGGCGTGGTGTTCATCCAAGCTACGCGGAGTATCTCGTCAAGTGGAAGGGGCGGCCAGAAAGCGACATCACATGGGAGAAGGAGCTTTCGCTATGGCGTCACAAAGACTTGATCGAGGCATTTCATGCGGAGTCCGCGACGAGGGCGTCGCGAGATTGAGTGGGGGAGAATGTTACGCGGAAGATTCTAGAGCATTCTAGAACGATGCAAGTACGTGCATGCATCTTCCGATTCATGCACCTATGTACATGCATCCCCCTTTTTCTATCTTTATTCATGTATCTCATTAATTACATTCATGTATGGGGCTGGTTCATGTATGGGGGGACTATCTAGGTTCGTTCATTTATGACGGCCATGTACATTGTACTTAGTGGAGAGGATGCCTATATAAGCAGCCCTCTCCACCACTTTTCATTCATCCAGAAATTGAGAGATTTCCATCTATAGAGTTTTCTCCAACACTTGTGAGTTTGAGTGAATACGAGCAAGGCTGACTTAGTGCTCTAACGAGACTTGAGTGCTAAGTGCCGCACGGCCAAGAGTTGGTCCGTGACACAGACCAGAGATAGATCCAGTTGGGCTTTCTTTTTTACCTTTTGATTTTGATTTCCTTTTAGGAGATTTCTGACCTGTGAAAATGGTGTGGGCAAATCACAAATTGGCTTATATTGGTGGGAACTGGGAAACTTTCTGGGGAGGGAAGAAGATTTTTTTTTTTTGTGTTTCTGCCTTCTGGGCTTCCAATTCAATATTTTGGTTTCTTTTGGGTACCAAAAACAATTCAAGTTTTAATTTTTTTTACCCCTACTCTACTCTGTCTCTTCCTCTCTCTCCTCTGTAAACTTAACAGTGATAGCACTGTGGAGGGGTGACAGACAGAGCCAGGCAGCAGCAGCAGACCACAGAGAGAGAAAGAAAGGAAAAGAAGTGAAATGGGGCTCAGAATTAAAGTGTTTCCCTTCCCCTTCCCTCCCCAAATATATATAAAAAATATGAACACCTATAAACTTAACGAGGGAGAGAAAGAGAGAGAAACAGATAGGACTAGAGATAGAGGGAGGGGACACTTTATTTGCCTTTTTTATGATGCACGCATCCATGGCAGAACAGAGAAGGGTACACAGTACTGCTGCGACATAACACAAGTTTTTATTTTAAACTCCCTTCTCCTTTTCCTCTGCAAAGGAAAAACAAGAGATTTCAATTTTTAAAGAAAACACAGAAGGGAGGAGGAAAAGAAAGAAGCAACAGCCCACAGATTGCAGGCAGAAGAGAGAGGGAGAGAGAAAGAGGGGGAGAAAGGACGTGAAGCCATGGACGAGGTTGAATGAAGGTACGAAGATGTTGTTGGGGAAGAAGTATGGAGCTGATGAGGAAGGTAGTATTGTTGAAGAAAACAAATGGCTGAAAGTAGTAGTAGTAGAAGAAGAGTACCAGAGATGAGAGCTTGATGGCATGCAAGGAGAGGTAGAGAAACAAGGAAAGGAAAAAGAAGGCTGCTTTCTCTTTTTTTCCCCCTTTCTTCCAAATCTGAGCACAACCCATCTTCACCCACACAAACCCACTCCACAAATCTTGCTTCTTCACCTTCTAAAGCAAACAAAAACAGCTTCTTTGAAGCTTTTGTTATTTCTTCTTCTTCCTCTGTTTTTTCTTTTTGGTGTTGGGGTTTCTGAGCGAAGTTGTTATTTTGACTGGCTGTGGTAAATATATGAGAGGGATGCCCTTCCAATTGCAGGGGAAGGGGGGTTTAGATATTGCAGCTGCAGCTGGTTTCGCATCGATTTGCTCTTCTCAGCAAGAAGCTTGGAGGCTGCTTGAACTCAGTCAAGAAGAGGAGAAAGTTCATAGCTTTGGGAGCACAGAGCCCACCTCGGTTCTTCATATGAGAAGGAGTCCAAGCCCACCCACATCGGCTTCCACTCTTTCCTCCTCCTTCAACAACGGCGGCGGCGGTGGGGACAACACCGCCACTCCGACGGCCGGCGAAAAAGCCTCTGAGTGGGCTAACGAGCTGCAGCCTATCCCAGCTGGCCTCGAGATTGTTTCCTCCAGATGCGGTCTCGGGTTGGAAGATTGGGAGAACATGTTGTCGGAGCCCACTCAGGAACAGTCCCTCCTCCGGTGGATCTCCGGCGACGCCGAGGACTCCTCTTTTGGTTTCAAGCACCTCCTTCAGAGCAACAACAGCAACAGCAATCCGTTGGATTTCGATGGCAATGGCGGCGGTGGAGGGTTAGGGATTGTTGAACAGGGGAATGGGTTTGATTCAATTGGGGGAATTGGAGCTGGGGTTTCCAGCATTGGTCACAATTTGGGGGCTTTCCCTGATTCCGGGTTCCTCGGAGCTAATGGGAATGGCAGAAATGCTGGGGGTTTGGTGTCTCCCAGCTCTTCTTCGTCATCTGGGTTGGTTCATTTCAAACCTAATAATAATAGCGTTGGCAATAATCTTCCTTCTGCAATGCTTTATCATCATCAGCAGCATCATCCACAACAGCAGCAGGAGGAGAAGCCACATATTCTGCATCCTATGATGAACCAACAACAACTGAATTCTCATCAAGCGCCAAACTTTTTCATGCCTCTGCCATTTGAGAATCATCATCAGCCTCCTCAACCCAAGAGGCAGAATTCTGGTGGTGGGATGGAACCCATTTCTCAAATGATCCCCAAGCTTCCGTTTTCAGACCCGGGGCATCATGACTCGTTTCTCAGGAAGCAACATCATCAGCTGCAGCAACAGCAACATCTTCAGCAGCAGCAACATCAGCATTTCGGGTTTCCTCCAGGGGTTCCTTCATTTCTCCAAAACCATCACCAGGGCATTCTGCAGAATGCCCTGGTGGGAAAGAAGGAAGACCCAGGTGGAGGGCAGCAACACGAATTGCTTGACCAGCTCTACAAGGCAGCAGAGATGGTAGGGTCAGGGAACTTCACTCACGCGCAAGGGATATTGGCGCGGCTCAATCAACACCAACAGCTCTCCCCAATTGGAAAGCCTCTCCATAGGGCAGCTTTCTACTTCAAGGAGGCTCTCCAGCTTTCACTCCTCAGTCACAACAACATTAACAGCAACAACCCCGTCACCAGCCCTCTTATGCCTCGAACTCCAACCCCGTTCGATGTCATCTTCAAAATGGGCGCTTACAAGGTCTTCTCAGAGGTCTCCCCACTCATCCAGTTCACCAACTTCACTTGCAACCAGGCTTTACTGGAGTCTCTGGAAGATGCAGACAGAATCCACATAGTCGACTTCGACATTGGGTTTGGCGCTCAATGGGCTTCCTTCATGCAGGAGCTACCCCGGAGTAGAGGCATTGCACCTTCCTTGAAGATCACAGCTTTTGCCTCTCCGTCCACTCACCACCCTATCGAGCTTGGTCTCATGCGAGAAAACTTGACACAGTTCGCCAATGAGATAGGTATTAGCTTCGAGCTCGATGTGGTCAACTTTGACTCTTTGGACCAGCAGAGTTGCTTCTCTCTTCCTATTTTCCGAGCTAGTGAGAATGAGGCTGTTGCGGTCAACTTCCCCATTTGGGCTGCTTCTGGCCAACCATCCGCATTGCCCTCATTGCTCCGTCTCATCAAGCAGCTTAATCCAAAGATTGTAGTGTCACTGGACCGAGGGTGTGACCGCAGTGATCTTTCATTTCCACAACATGTGCTCCATGCTCTCCAGTCTTACATTAACCTATTCGAATCATTGGATGCTGCTAATGTGACTAGTGATGCTCTGAACAAGATCGAGAGGTTCCTGCTCCAGCCTAAAATCGAGAGCACTGTGCTGGGACGACTTCGTGGGCCGGACAAGATGATGCCCAACTGGAAGACGATATTCGCATCCTCTGGATTCTCGCCCGTGCCATTTAGCAACTTCACGGAAACTCAAGCGGAGTGTGTGCTGAAGAGGGCTCAAGTGAGGGGGTTTCACGTTGAGAAGCGACATGCCTTCCTTGTGTTGTATTGGCAGGGGAGAGAGCTCATATCAGCTTCTGCTTGGAGGTGCTGATTAGGGAGGGTGAAGGCCAAGATTATCACCTTACAGTCTAATGCGGGTAATGAAATGTCAATAAATTTTTGAAAAAGACTAGTACTTCTGTTGTTGGTGATGATGCCTCCTCTCCTTTTGTGACTAAATATGAATCTGTGTAGTTTATTTTGGGGGGATCTTTCTCTATGCTTGTTCTTTGCATATGTAAATCCCCAGGTAGGAGAAAAAAAAATGCCCCATCTAACTTGGAGGAAACTGAGTAGGTTTGTTGTTGTTCCTCCTCGAGAAAATGGTTTATCTATGACAATGGTATTTCGACGTAGTATGCTGAATTGCTGATGCAAGGTGCCCTTTATTACGCGCGCCATTTAGTCGTCGTATCTTTGACAGCAAACGAGGAACCTGGTTTACCTTTTACTGAAGCAACCTTCCCCTTCTTTAGTTCTGTGCAATGTGCATTGTTTTACTGCTTTCCGACTTCTTGTTTCTGTCAAATTGTGGTCTTTATAGATAGAAACTCTTCAGCTTATTTAGCAGGAGCTAACGGACTCTAGTGAATAGGTTATCAACGAATCACGAAGTGATGCACTTGATAAATCGAAGCAGAGAACAGCTCCTTGCTTAGTTTCTCTGGTGAACCTCTCGCATATTCTTGTGCTATATAGCTTTGGATAAGTCTTGCATCAGATTATATGAACTGTAACATATGCTTTAGATGGACATAGTGTGAAATTTAGGTTGAAAATTGTTGACTTCACTAGATTGCTGTGGAAAAATGCAGATAAAGATTTCAATGAACTAGTGTGTAAAACTCACTTCTATATCGATCAAAGCGTAGGAAGAATTCAATGATTAAGGTGTGTCATATCAATGATTTGCTTGAGTATCTTGAGTGATTGCTGGACATTGTCTGGTATGATGAAGTGTCGTGCTTTGTCAAACTGAGCATGCTTTGTCAGTTGTAGTTTAGATGTCTTTGAATCTCCAATACATTTGACAGAATCTAGCTGGATAATTGCTGCAGTTTATATGTACATGCTGCGTTGGAGGTTTGGTTGGCGGTATGAAATGAACATGCCTGCAGACTAGGAAGACAAATGAATACAAAGACAGCCTAAGCTTCGTGAAATTGCTATGCTAACATGGATTGTGTCCTTGAAAATTTTGTCAATGCTCTTGTGTCTAGTAAGAAACAGCATTTAAAAAACCGTTTAATGTACTTCCTTTAATCATCATGCATGCATTTAAACCCGACAATTAACGCGTCACACTCATTTTGTTGCTTTAATTAAATTGTTTCGTTTTTATATTGATTATTTTTATTAAGTACCTCTTTATAGCCTTGCAAGAGAGTAGAAGAATAAAATATGGCTTGCCTCAATAGTACAGTGAATTTCACTAATTTTTTATAGATAAATAAATTAGTTAATTGGACATCTACTAATCATCTCACATGGGTTTTCTTGGTATTCTTATTTTTTTTTTCTTCTTCTGAAATTAAATATTTATTTAAGGACCTGTTTTTAAACAATAATTTATGTGAATTTCTATGCTATGTTATCGCCTGTTATTTGGGTACTTGTGGAGGTTGTTTTTGCGTAAGAAATAGATAAAATAAGCTAAATGAGTACAAATAATAGGATGGTCGCTCCTCTTCTTTTGTTATGGGAATGGTGTTGGGTTGAGTGAATGTAACACAATGATTGGGAGGATTCATTTTCAAAATCTGTTAATAGTATCTGATTCAACGTATTATTGTGAGTTGTAAGTGACTAACTCAATACCCCTAATGTCTTTTCTATAAAGTGTTTGTGGTTGGAAAGCTCAAAGTTGTATTACAACAATCCTCATCTTTTTCGTATCTCAAGTTTAACATAACACAAATATAAAGCTACACATTTAATATATAAAGTCCTCCTAAAAGAATGTATAGTGATTCGCTCTTTCAAGTACGAGTATGAAATGAAATGATGTACCCAACCAAAAGAGTGAATAAACATAAGACAATGAAAAGAGATAAATGACCTCTCATCAGAAAGTCAGTACTCGTATTCGACCCTGAAATCAATCCACGATGCAGAAAACAAACTCCCACGCGTTTCATAGCTGCATTACACTAATGTATGAGTTGTGTGTAGTCTAGGGAGAGGTTGATGAGTATCTTTTTGGAAGTAATACTGCATTAGGGAGACAAAAAAAAATCCGCTCTGAGCGACTAAAAACTATATCTCATAATAAGAAAGACTTAATAGGGACATAAGCGTCAATAATTAGTTGAGACAAATAACTTCCACTTATTTTTCTCATATACTACCACTAACCCAACCCTTCTCATTTCTTATATAAGTTTTGAGAAATAAGTTAAGATTCTACAAATGGAATAATGAAAATCACTTTGACCAATTGCCCATCACTTCTATCTCTGTAGGACCTTATCAACAACTAGGGCTGGCTATTTGGACCGGGACCGGATGAAAAATCGGAAACCGGACCGTATAACCCGGACCGAGACCGAACCGGGACCGGATAGTAAACAATCCAATCCAATCTTTGGGCTTAGATTTGAGGTAAAAAACCGGATAAAGGCCGGATAAGAGAGCTTCAACACCCAAAACTTAAGGGTAATTTGCATAAACGGTCACAAACCTTTACACTTAGTACAAAACTTAACCAACTCCTCACCCTTTTAGGCCTTAGGCCACTCAAATTCCCACAATCTTGATATAAAATCAAGACCGAATTGGGACCGGACCGGGTCAAGACCGAACCGGATCAAGACCGGACTGTATCCAATCCAATCTTCGGTCCTTATATTCTAAAAAAAACCGGACTGGACCGAATCAATTTGGGCCAATTTAACCGGACCGGACCGTATAGCCACCCCTATCAACAACCAACCTAGTCTTCTTTCTAAACAGTTTGTTTTAGCAGATGAAACAAACACTTAAGTGAAACGCTAAACATTTTCCCGCAATTAACAAGTTAATTACAAGGAGAGCCAGAATACAAGAAGTTCCAAGGTAGGGTGGGAGATAAGATAAATTAAAGGATGACCCGATTTTATTATATTAATTAGATAGCGACTTTCTCGAGTTTTATTGAAGGATAATCAAGTTGATCAATACTTAAATATACAAAATAATTAAAAAAACAAGAAGAGAAGGGGATGACGACTATATATAACATGCAGAGAGAACATGCCTCGTATGGACAGCGACAAAGATTAATCCCCTCCATTCCCATCTCCTAACGTCCTATGATTTAATTAATTAATTGATTGATTAATAGCAATACATGCAATTGTCGGTTCGTTGAAAACGAGCAATCCTGATATAAAAAATGTATAACCTAACTCTTGCGGACAACCATGGCATAATTAGTCAGGGAGATTTAGAGTAAAATTTTCCACAAAATTTGGCTTAAATACGTGATTAATTAATGAATTAGTTAACAATGTGGTTAAATTAAAGGAGGGTTTTGGGTTATTTGATTATTGGGGGTGGTGGTGGGTATGTGAGGAGCAAGTTCATTCTTTTGCAGTTATAAGGTATGGGTACACTTTGAGTTGACAAGTATGGTTTATTGATAAAAAACAAAATTATTATGTATCTAAAATGAAGTTAAGCCGGCATGTATTTATATATATAAAATAAATAACACTAATAATAATGAGGAAAATAAAAGGGAATGAGAAGAGATAGACTTATAGTGATAATGTGGTGATGAGAATTGTTGAGTAATAATGGGCCACGATGAAGAGGCCCATTTATGTATATTAGTTCGGATGTAATTAGGCATAGGGTTAAGAAAGAACACTATATATATCTCTGTAATGAGGACTGCCGAAGTTAATGAATAATAAGAAAACCGAATCGCTTCAGCCGTGGACTAGTCTCGTTCATCCTGAACGAGGAAACCACGTAACTCTCTGTGTCGATTTCGTTTCCGTTCCGTATCAGTTCCGTTTCTATTTTCATGGTATCAGATCTTACCGCTATGGATTCCGATCAGATCTCTGCGCGTCTCAACTCAAAGAATTATGCTCTTTGGAAATTTCAGTTCCGTAAACCATATGTTCCTCCCGCCTCAGCTCAGGACGTCTTGTTGTGGGTGTCTAATGATGCCAAAGTGAAATCGGCGCTCCTCAACTCCGTTGATCCTACGATTATTCTTGGCTTGCGTATGCTGCCGACTGCCGCTGACATGTGGAGGTACCTTGCTGAGACGTATGCTACCGTCAGTGCCAATCGTCAATTTGAAATTGAGGTCGAGCTGGCCGCTTTGCATCAGGGAGACAAGGACGTCGCCAGCTACAATAACGCGGCGCGTCAATTATGGACAGAACATGACCTCGTCACCTCTTCGTTGATGACACCAGCTGCCTCCGCCGAAGTCCGTGCTGCCCACAATCAGAGTCGTCTCCTTCAGTTTATGGCCCGTCTCAATCCTTCCTTTGAACCGGTGCGGGCGACTCTCCTCAACCGCGACAATTTGAAAATCGCGGACGTCCTGGGCGCTTTGATTCGGGAAGAGACCCGAATTCACACACAAGCATCGCTGGATGCTCGTCCTGGCAGCAGCGAGATCGCAGTCAGCGCCACTGGCTCGGCCAAAGCGCGCCCTCCACCAGGACAGTCCCGTTCCGAGGCGAAGACTCTCCGCCCAGCTGCTGACGTTGATGATGATTCTGCCGGCGAGGTATACGCTGCTCAGCGTCCACAATTCCAAAGGCGGGTGCCATCTGGGAATGTCGAGTGTCACTTCTACCGAGCAAAGTAGGGGTGGCTATACGGTCCAGTCCGGTTAAATTGGCCCAAATTGATCCGGTCCAGTCCGGTTTTTTTTAGAATATAAGGACCGAAGATTGGATTGGATACAGTCCGGTCTTGACCCGGTCCGGTCCCAATTCGGTCTTGATTTTATATCGAGATTGTGGGAATTTGAGTGGCCTAAGGCCTAAAAGGGTGAGGAGTTGGTTAAGTTTTGTACTAAGTGTAAAGGTTTGTGACCGTTTATGC